AGATTTTATTTATTCATTTGACAGAGAGAGACACAGCAAGAGAGGGAACACAACCAGGGGAGTGGGAGAGGGAGAAGCAGGCTCCCCTCTGAGCAGGGAGCCCGATGCAGGGCTCGATCCCAGAACCCTGAGATCATGACCTGAGCTGAAGGCAGATGCTTAATCAACTGAGCCACCCAGGCGCCCCTATATTTAATTTTTTAAACTTGAGTATAGTTGATGCATGATGTTACATTAGTTTCAGGTGTACATCATAGTGATTTAATTTTATGGGTTATGCTAGGCTCACCACAGTTTTAGTACCATCTGTCACATACAGTGTTACTACAATATTATTGACTATATTCCCTATGCTATGCTTCTATTACTGTGACTTATTTATTCCATAGCTGGAAACCTGTATCTTCCACTCCCTTTCACTCATTTTGTCCATTTTCCCAACCCCTGTCTCCTCTGGCAACCATCCGTTTGTTCTCTGTATTTCTGGGTCTGGTTCAGCTTTTTTTGTGTGTGTGTATTCGTTTGTTCTGTGTTTTAGATTCCCTGTATGAGTGAAATCATATGGTATTTGTCATTCTTAGTCTGGCTTATTATACACTAATAACAAAGTAGCAGAAAGAGAAATTGAGAAAATAATCCCATCCATAATTGCAGCAAAAAGAATAAAACACCTACGAGTAAACTTAACCAAGGAGGTGAAAGACCTATATTGTGGAAACTATGAAATACTGATGAAAGAAATTGGAGATGACACAAATAGAAAGATATTCCATGATCATGGATTGGAAGAATTAATATTGTTAAAATGTCCATGTCACCCAAAGCAATTTACAGAGTCAATGAATGCTTATTGAAATACCAACAACAACATTTTTTACAGAACTAGAACAAATGCTAATATGTATAGAGCCACAAAAGAGCCTGAATAGCCAAAGCAGTCTTGAGAAAGAAGAACAAAGCTGGAAGTGTCACAATCCCAGATTTCAAGGTATACTACAAAGCTGTAGTAATCAAAACAGTATAGTATTGGCACAAAAGATTGATGGAACAGAATAGAGAACCCAGAAATAAACCCATACTTTTAGGGTCAATTAATCTATGACAAATTAGGCAAGAATGTGCAATGGGAAGAATATAGTCTTTTCAAAAACGGTGCTGGGAAACTGGACAGCTACCAGCAAAAGAATGAAACTGGACTAATTTCTTACACCATACACAAGAATAAACTCAAATGGATTAAAGACTTAATTGTAAGACCTGAAACCATAAAAACCCTAGAAGAGAACACAGGCAGTAATTTTTCTGACATCGGCCCTAGCAGCATTTTTCTAGCTAGTTATGTCTCCAAAACCAAGGGAAACAAAAGCAAAAATAAGCTATTGGAACTACAGCAAAATAAACTTTCCTGCAGTAAAGGAAATCATCAACATAATGAAAGGCAACCTACTTAATGGGAGAAGAGATTTGCAAATGATACATCTGATAAGGGGTTAATTTCTAAAATGTATACGACTTATACAACTCGATACCTAAAAAACAATCTAAGTAAAAAATGGGCAGAGGACCCGAATAGACATTTGTTGTAAAGAAGACATACAGATGGCCAACAGATATATGAAAAGATGCTCAATATCACTAACCGTCAGGGAAATGCAAATCAAAATCACAAAGCGTTACCACCTTAGACCTGCCAGAATGGCTAAAATCAAAAAGACAAGAAATAACAAGTGTTGGTGAGGATATAGAGAAAAAGGAATCCTTGTGCCCTGATGGTGGTAATGTAAATTGGTACAACTGCAATAGAAGACAGTGTGGAGGTTCCTCAAAAAATTAAAAATAGTAATAACATATCCAATAATTCCACTACTGGGTATTTACCCAAAGAAAATAAAAACACTATCAAAAAAATATGTGCACTCTTATGCTTATTGCAGCATTATTTACAGTAGCCAGGATATGGAAGTAACCTAAGTGTTCATTGATAGACAAATGGATAAAGAAGATGAGCTGTGTATATATAGTGGAATAGTACACAGCCATGAAAAAGATGAGATCATGCCGTTTGTGACAACATGGATGGACCGAGAGGGTATTATGCTCAATGAAAGAAGTCAGACTGAAAAAGGCAAATACCATATGATTTCACTGATATGTGGTATGTATATTTTTTGAAAGTACCTTTTACCTACCAATTTTTTTCTACTTCCTGAGTCCACTTCTAGGTCAGTTTAAATGCTTCTAGAAAAATGTATCACTGATCATCACTGTTCAAAAAGATAAATTTTGCAGTAGCTGTTTAAGGGGTACCTTATTTCCTTTTATGCTTTCTTCTTGTGAGCCATTTTTTATTTTCAAGGATGTCTGAAAATAGGTATGGGAAAAAAGAAAAATTTCCTAAACACCACAAAGATCTTTTATATATAGTTCACAGAGTCTTTTCACTGTACATCATCTTACTTGGTACTCCAAAGGCAAGTTGCAGTTTCATCTTGGAGGGATTTTTCCTACATGTAGTTGGAAGAGGCAGTGTGTAATAGTAGTCTCCAGAACCTGCTCTTATGTTATATAAAGTACCACTAGGAAGAAGTTAGAGGTATGTTTTAGTATTCCAACCAAGTTTTTTCTTTGCTTTCCTTCTTCTTTTTCTTTCCTTTTCCAAATTGATAGACTTTTATTACTTTTGCTAATTATTAAATGAATAAAATTTTTCTAAATACAAAATTATATAATGTAGAAAGTGTAAGGTCCCACCCCCTACTCTTCCCTATAATTCTACTCCCAACAATTGCCAGTGTTTAGTATTTGTATATTTTTCTAGACTTTTGTATGCCAATATGAATATCTTTTTTCATAATTGGTATTATGTTAAATATATTGATCTTCCTCAACCTTTTAAATTGCTACATGTTATTCTGTATGAATGTACCCTTATTTAATGAATTGATAATATTTTTGGTATTTCTCAATACTGTAATAAATGTGAATATTCTAATATTTACACCTTTGCCTGCTTTTCTGATTATTTCCTTAGTATAACTAGCTAAAATTAGATTTGTTTTTAAAGGATGGGCACATGTCAGATCTTGACACATATTACCCCTAAAAAAGAGGGCTTTTTCCTTTAGATCCAACAAAGGATATATTCAGTTGCCAAACTACTAAATAAAAAGTATCTGATTATTTTAATTTGCATTTTTGAAGAATACCAAGGTTAGACATATTTTAATATTGAGTATTCATAGTTTTTGTGTATCTGAATTGCCTTATTTGTCTCCTAAATTATTCTCATTTTACTATTGATTTATAAGGCCATTTTATATATTAAAGATAATAAAACTTTGTCATATATATGTTGCAATAGTTTCACTCAGTTCCCTAGTTAACTTTTGATGTTATTCATGATATATTTTGTATGCAGAAATTTTAAGGTTTTTTAAAATTTTACTTATTTTTATTTTTTAAAGATTTTATTTATTTGTCAGAGAGAGAGCACAAGCAGGGGCAGCGGCAGGCAGAGCAGGCCGAGCAGGCAGAGGGAGAAGCAGACTCCCTGCTGAGCAAGGAGCCCAATGTGGGACTTGATCCCAGGACCCTGGGATCATGACCTGAGCTGAAGGCAGACACTTAACCGACTGAGCCACCCAGGCGTCCCTAAGTTTTTTTTTTTTTAAGATTTTATTTGAGAGAGAAAGAGCGAGCATGAGCGGATGGGGGGTGTGATGGCATGGGGGAAAGGGCAGAGGGAGAGGGAGAAGCAGACTCCCTGCTGGGCAGGAAGCCCGATGCGGGGCTCGATCCCCGGACCCTGAGATTGTGACCTGAGCTGAAGGCAGATGCTTAACCGACTAAGCCACCCAGGTGCCCTTAAGTTTTTACATAGTAAAACCTGTCAGTCTTTTCTTCTGGGGTTTCTTGGTTTTTTCAAATTTGGAAATATTTTATCTACCACAAGACCATAAAGGTTTTTCTTTTACCTTTAGTTACCTTTGTTATATTTATTCATCTCGTTGTCACTGTTTAAAATACCATCATTGGGGCACCTGGGTGGCTCAGTCGTTAAGCGGCTGCCTTTGGCTCAGGTCATGATCCCAGGGTCCTGGGATCAAGCCCTGCATTGGGCTCCCTGCTAGGCGAGAAGCCTGCTTCTCCCCCTCCCGCTCCCCCTGCTTGTGTTCCCTCTCTCGCTGTCTCTCTCTCTGTCAAATAAATAAATTAAATTAAATTAAATAAATAAAATACCATTATTATTTTATATTAACTTCCCAGATATATATAGGTCTGTTTTCTACTTCTTGTTTTGTTTCATTGTTCTATTTAACTATATTTAGTAATGTACCATCACTACATTATTTTATCAGCCTTAGCTTTTAGTATATTTCTTTATCTGGTAGGGAAGATACCTCCTACACAAAGTAACTGGCTATAGCATTCATTCTGAGCTCCTTTGGAACAAATAGCAATCTCCGTGAAGTAGGAGAGTACCCATTGCCATCTTCCAGTGTATCCTCTTTCATCTTTGGTTGGTGGGATTTGCTCTGAGCTGGGTGGTTTCTGAGATTCTCATGGAAGAAATCCATATAGTTATTTCTGAAGGAGCCGCTCCTTTTCCCATGTAGAGTGACATAGTGTTTACCAATGTTTGGTTTCCCTTTAATCCATTATCATCTTCTGACCTATAGTGGGTATATTTCCTTTTTTCTCATTGCTGCTTCAGATTTGCTTTTAAAAAAAAGAATTTCAAAAAACAACAACTAATTTTGGATTCTTCTTAGGAACTGGGAAGGGAAGAAAAGTTAAAATATGAGCTCACTTTCCCATCTTAAAAATACAAACTCTGTTTTTGGATTATATACTAGCATTATGAGTTTTTATTTTTATTTTTTTATTTTTTAAAGATTTTATTTATTATAACATATATTATATTAAGTTATATATATATATATATAACTTACAAACTTTGATATATAAAAGTGGCAGTTAGGAAATTATAATTTACAAAATAATTTTTAATGACATTTGTAGTTTCTATAAAATCATAGAGTCCTTGTCAAAGCAGAGCAATAAAACTTGCAAGTGATTTATGATTATATTTCATTCTAGGCACACCTTCTCCTGAGATTCAACTTGTGTTCAAATTCAGAGAGGATCCACAAGAGCAAAAGAGTAAAAATAAGATAATGCCTCTTAGTGAGAATGCAGTCTTACAGGTATGTAGCATATTGATTAAATACATACTTACTAAAAATTGGGAATGCTATTTCAAAGAGCGGCAAATTACTAATGATTAATTCTTTTTGTGTATTATTTTCCTGCTTTCTTCTCTTACTCAGTTTTTACCCTTTCTTAGCTAGTCATTCTGTTTCTTCTTTGCAACTTTGGTGAAAGGCAGTTGTTTTAGAAGGGGATGTTTAAAATATTTCATTTCTTCCTCTCTTTCCTTTTCTCTCTTTCAGGTAGAGATGTGGAAGTGAGAGAAACAGAAGGTTAAAGTAGAATATAATAATTATGATTTTCATCTCCATTGTATGTCAGAGATCACTTTAAATTTGTGAAGAAGATGTTAGTCTGCATGGTATAATTTGAGATATGGGCTACTGAAAGTCCCTTCTATTATCTTATGTATGTGTGAGTGCATGTGTATGTATACACACTTACATACACAAATTTTTATTTGTTTCTTTTTAATGCAGTCACCCTGGGGAAAGATTAGGGGTGATTTAGTTAACACCTGTGGCATAAATAAGTCAGCTAACCAAAGATACCTACAAAGTCTTAAGGAAGGAAGGGACGATAGATACATTTTTTTCCTCTGAGGATAAAAAGTAACATTCCAGTGTGTTCATGTTTTAATTTTCTTCAGAAAAATACCAAGAGGTGGAATTACTGGATTGTATGGTACTTCTATTTTTAATTTTTTTAGTAACCTCCACACTGTTTTCCATTGTGGCTACACCATTTTACATTCCCACCGACAGTGCATGACAGTTCTCTTTTCTCCATATCCTTGCCAACATTTGTTGTTTCTTGTCTTTTTGGTTTCAGCCATTTTGACAGGTGTGAAGAGATATCTTGTTGTGATTGTGATTTGCATTTCCCTGATGGTTAGTGATGTGTATCTTTTCATGTGTCTTCTGGTCACCTGTTTGTCTTCTTTAAAAAAATGTCTGTTTGGGTCCTCTGCCCACTTTTTAATTGTACTGTTTAGTTTAGGTTTTTTTGTTGTTTTTTGCTGTTGAGTTGTATGAGTTCTTTATCTATTCTGGATGTTAACCTCTTATCAAATATATAATTTGCAAATATCCTCTCTCATTCTGTAGGTTGCCTTTCATTATTCTAATGGTTTCCTTCACTGCATAAAAGCTTTTTATTTTATTTTTATTTATTTATTTTTTAGAGAGAGAGTGAGGGGGTGGGGCGGGGAGAAGAGGGAGAGGGACAGAGAAAATCCCAAGCAGGCTTCTTACTCAGTGAGGAGCCCGACACAGGGCTCAATCCCACAATCCTGAGACCATGACCTGAGCTGAAACCAAGAGACAGATGCTTAGCCAACTGAGCCACCCAGGTGCGCCATGATTTCCATCTTTTAAATCAAGAGTTGTTTTGTGGCCTACCATATGATCTATCCTGGGGAATATTTTATGTGCACTTGAGAAGAATATGTATTCTTTTTTTTTTTTAAAGATTTTATTTATTTATTTGAGAGAGCGAGAGCATGAGAGGGGGGAGGGTCAGAGGGAGAAACAGACCCCCCGCCGAGCAGGGAGCCCGATACGGGACTCGATCCCGGGGCTCCAGGATCATGACCTGAGCCGAAGGCAGTCGCTTAACCAACTGAGCCACCCAGGCGCCCGAGAAGAATATGTATTCTGTTTTTGGATGGAATATTCTGTATATATCTGTTAGGTCCATCTGTTCTAAGCCATTGTTGGTGTCATTTAAAGCCATTGTTTCCTTGTTGATTTCTTTCCGCAAGATGTATCCATCGATGTAAGTGGGGTGTTAAAGTCCCCTAGTTTTATTGTATACTGTCAATTTGAGAGAAAAGTATTTTAAACAGATGTTATCAGTAACTGATCAATAAATAAAACACTTAATACCAGGAATGTTTATTCTGCTATACTGAATGTGAGGATAGTTTGTGTGAGTATCTGGTGCTTCCTGGCAAGCCAGGGTTGGTTAGGCTGGTTTGACTGTCTAGACTTTTTCCACTCCACTCCCAGTGATTCACGATTCAGTCGAAGAGAATGGTTTCAGATATTTTTGGTTGAGGATGTATAAATAGATTTGCCTCTTTTCCAGATCCTCCAAATTAGCACAGTTAATTTAAACTCTTTTTCACCTCCTACACCCTATCCCCAACAGATGAAATAAAACAAAACCTGTACAGCTTAAGGGACCATCAAAATATAGGGGTGGTAAGGGCAGGAAAAAAATGACAGACACATGAATCAAAAGGAGAGATAGCAATTTGGATCCCTTAGGAAAGAGTTGATTGAAATGTGTCCTTGCATTTTATTAATTAACAAATGACCAACTCCAGCCCCCATTATATTCAGAGGCATTAGCTCTTAAGTGTTATTTTTGCCTATGGAGGAGGGGAAAGAAAAAAAATGGCTGGGGCGCCTGGGTGGCTCAGTTGGTTAAGCTACTGCCTTCGGCTCAGGTCATGATCCTGGAGTCCCTGGATCGAGTCCCACATCGGGCTCCCTGCTCGGGAGGGAGTCTGCTTCTCCCTCTGACCCTCCCCCCTCTCATGTGCTCTCTCTCTCATTCTCTCTCTCTCAAATAAATAAATAAAATCTTTAAAAAAAAAAAAAGAAAGAAAGAAAAAATGGCTGTCAGGAGCAAACGTCCTTTTTACTTCGTCTTTTATTCTTTGCATTTTCCTTATGTAGGTAGGGTCAAGTCACTGATCTATAGTAAGGGAAATGAACTGGGTATTACAGGTATTTGAATGAATTATTTTGTGAAGATGCAGAAATATCTAGTAAGCATATAAGTATACTCTATTTAATTAATACTTGGGAGTGTCTAGGTTTACTTCTTGTCTCTGGGCCTCTGAGCTTTGTAAGGTCTGCTTGGGAAGTATATGTATGTGGAACCAATGTGATAACCTTGAAGTATGTAAAGATTCATTATCAGTAAATAACAGTGAATGTTCATTGGAGAAGATTGAAGTTCTCACAGTACTTTGTGTTTTCCTGTTATTATAGCTTTTTATTGATTGAACAATGCTTGGAAATTCATGCTAAAGGCTTTATTTTCAGAAAGCTTGGTTACTGATCATAGAAACATAGAAGGCCCTCCAAGAGAGATCTTTTTCTAAAGATCCACTTTGATGGTAACAAGATATTAAATGTAAGGATTCCTTTTAAAGTGATGAAAGCCAGTATGCTGTAAAACTTAAAATGAAGTCATTTTATCAGTGCATTTTATCTTTTTTTTGAGAGGGAAACAACTTCAGATTTTCTGGCGTGACTTGAGAATTAGGCAAAAGTCATTTAGCACTTAACATTGTATTGCAGAGGTTGTATGATTTTTGGCCCTCAAGAGAAATATTAGAACTGAGAACCTGACAAGAATGGCTTATCAGAACCATTATGGACTAATGAACTAGGAATAAAAACAGGACACATATCCTTTCTCTTTATTTAATTTCCATAAATTCTTTTATGGAAAGAAATTAAGGAAAAAACTAAACCAAGAGCTAAAACTCCTTGAAGAAAACATTGGGAAAAAGTATTGCAACATTGGATTTGGCAATGATTTCTTGGACATGAAAGCCCGTCAACAAAAGAAAAATAAATAAAGCTAGACTCATGAAAATTAAAAACCTTTGTGCATTAAAGGACACTATCAACAGATGAAAAGGCAACCCAAGGAATGGGAGTAAGTCATGTATCTCATAAGGGATTGCTACCCAGAATATATAAAGACTGTTACAACTCAGCAACAAAAAAACCAAACAAACTGATTTAAAAATGGACAAAGGGCATGAACAGACATTTCACCAAAGAAGATAGACTAGTGGCCAATAAGCACATGAAAATGTGTTCACCATCATTATTCAATAGGGAAATGCACATCAAAACCACCCTGAGATCCCACCTTACACTCATTATGATAGCTGTTATCAAAAAACCCCAAAATAACCAGTGTTAGTGAGGATGTAGGAAAATTGGAATTCTTTCTCATTGCTGGTAGGAAATGTAGAATGGTGCCACTGCTGTGGAAAATGGTATGGTGATTCCTCCAAAATTAAACATTTTATCATATGATCCAGAAACTCCACTTCTGGGTTTATACCCAAAATAAGTGAAAGCAGGGACTCAAAAATATATTTGTACATTCATGTTCATTGAACCATTATTCACAGTAGCCAAAAGGTGATAGGAACCCAAGCATCTACCAACAGATGAGTGGATAAACAAAATGTGTTACATACAATGTAATTAGAAAGGGAGGAAATAGTGAAATATGGTATAACATGGGGGTGAACCTTAAAGACCTCATGCTAAGTGAAATAAGTTCAGACACAAAAGGACAAATGTTGTATGGTTCCTTTTATATTAGGTACTTAGAGTAGTCACAGTAGAGACTGAGTAGTAGAAAGAAAGGAGCAGGGTAGGTACCAGGGATTAGGAGAGGGGTGAATGGGGAGTTAGTGCTTAGTAGGTGTGGAGTTACAGTTGGAAAAGATGAAAAAGTACTCTAGATGGATGCTGGTGATGGTTGTACAACAGTGTGCACAAAATGCCACAGCACTGTAAGTGTAAAAATGGTTAAAATGGTGAATTTTATGTTATATATATTTTACCACAGCAGAGAAGATGCTAAGAAAGAATAACACAAGAATTATTTTAATTGTTAAATTTTTAATTGTTGCATTGTATTAGCATTTATCAGTTAAAAGAAAACTACCTTTTTTCCCCCTAGCAACCTCAAGATGAAATGGAACAAAATGAAGCTCTGTTCCAGTAAGTATACTAATTTTTGGCTCTATTAAATTGTAGTATTTTTTTTGTTTTGTAATTTTGCACTCTAAAGTGAGTCTTCATTGTCTTAAGAGTTTTAGAATTATTGTGTATTTTTTAATAATTGCCCCTTTAGCAGCATAAATATGTTATTTTTAAACATTCTAGATAAGCTTCATTTCATGAGAAAGATTGGTTCAGATTGAGTTGATTCTCTATTAATATTATTTAAAAAGAAAATTTATAGCAAAGCATGAAGGAAGGATTTGGAGACTTTATTGAAATTAGACTTTATAGGACTATTATACTTTAAAAAACTTTATCCTTTCAGTTCTTTTGAAACCGTGGTTCTCAAAGTATGGTCTGTGGACCCCTTGGGAGTCCTTGAGACTTTCCAGACAGTCTTTGAGGTCAAAACTATTTTCATAATAATACTAATACATTATTTGCCTATTTCTTAGTACTGACATTTGCACATAGAGTGCTAAAGAAAATGGTAAGTAAAATGCTGAAGCCTTAGTAGGAATCAGGGGAGTGGCACCAGATAGTACTAGTAGTTGCTGTATTTTTCTTTTCTTTTTTTTTTTTTTTTAAGATTTTATTTATTTATTCATGAGAGACAGAGAGAGAGGACAGAAGCAGAGGGAGAAGCAGGCTCCCCGCGGAGCAGGGAGCCCGATGCGGGACTCGATCCCAGGACCCTGGGATCATGACCTGAGCCGAAGGCAGACACTTAACCGACTGAGCCACCCAGGCGTCCCGTTGCTGTATTTTTCAATGCCATGAACTGGCAGTTAAAAAAGAAAAGGAAGGAAAAAAAGCTAGCTTTACTTAATGCATGTGATGAAGCAGAAAACTTCTTGTTTTATTAAATTTCTACTCTTGAATATATATCTTTTTGATATGCTGTGTGATGATGGAGGAAGTATGCCTAAGTACTTCTGTGCATACTGAAGTGTGGTCGTTGTCTTGAGAGCACTTGTGTGACTTGAGTTGTAAACATTTTAAGAAAATTAGCTCACTTTTTCTTTTAACTTGAAAGAATAATTGACAGACAAAATAACATTCACACTTGGGTATATGGCAGACATTTTCTTGAAAATCAATGAAGTAATAAGCCAGTCACTTCAAGGAAAACAGCTGATGGTATTTGTTGCCAATGAAAAAATTCAAGCTTTCATGTGAAAATCAGTGTAGGAAAACTTGTTTTTACCACCTTGACTTTGATGGCTTCCCAGTACTTAAAATTTTCCAGTGAGATCAGTGGTAATATTTACAAAGGTGATCTTTTTGATGTTTAACAGTGTTATCAGTATAAGGAAGATTTGCATAATTCGGTGAATCAGTATTTTCTAAAAGACAAATGCACAATGTCACAATCACACACAGGTGAAAGATTCATTCAAAGTACAAGGTAGACCAGTGGGTCATAGTGTGACAGAATACAAAAAGTTCATTGGTGTTGTTTCAATTTTTACATTTCCAGTAACCTTTAAAGAAGTTATTCCTTTTAGAGTTTTGGTGTGATATTTGCTTTGGTGTGATACTATAGTTATCCAAAAAGGCTACTAAAATACTCCTTCCTTTTCCAACTGTATATCTGTGAGAGGCCAGATTTTTGTTATAAATAAAACAAAGTATGGCAAAAGATTGAATGCAGTAGCAGATATGAGATGACAGCTGTCTTCTATGAAGCCATATATTTTTTAAAAATGTGAAATAGTGCCATTCTTTTCACTGATTTTTTTTCATTTTGTAAAATATAATAAATTTTCATAAAAATATATTCACATGTTAATGGATTATTACTGTTATTTTTATTTAACTTTAAGTTTTTTATGTTAATTCCAGTATAGTTAATATACAGTTATATTAGTTTCAGATATATAATGTAGTGATTCAGTAATTCTGTATATTATTCAGTGCTCATCATGATAAGTGTTCTTTTACTGTTCTTTTTAAATTAATGATTATTTAAAATTTTTCCTATTTTAACTTCTAGTATGTAAGTGTAATTAAGTATATGTCACATAAATAAAAACTTTGGGTTCCTCAATAATTTTTAAGAGTGTAAAGGAGACCAAAGATCAAAAAGTTTGAGAACCACTGTGTTTAAATAACCCTATTACTGAATAGATCAGCACTATAAGTTCATCTACAGAAATGGGGGAAACAAGAGAACTAGGGAAGACAAACACAGTATACATAATCTCAGTGCCCAGAGAGAACCATTGTTAGCATTTTCGTACATTTTATTTTAGGCTTTATATATAGCTTTATTTATGTTTTCTATGAAATTAAATCATTCTGCAGATAGTTTTTTGTATCCTGTTTTAAAATCTTAAGTAATAATTTATCATAATTATTTTCTCATGTCATATTTTTAAAAACATGAATTTTAATGGCCTCACTATTTTACTGTATAACTTGACTGTACTATAATGCATTTAATTATTCCTCTACTGTTAGATGTGTACATTGTTTGCTGTCTTGCCTAATATAAATAACTATTTTTTAACAATTTTGTTAAGAGTTTGCTCTATTTTCAGACTTATGTCTTAAATTCTCTTGTAATTAAGGGGGAAAATTCTGTTGTTGACTCAAAGTATGATTCAGTTTTGTTTTAAATCAGCTCGTTCTTCTCAAAGAATTGCATTTTAGGGAAAAAATCAGCATTCTTTTCTATTTGCCTCATAGAAATTATTATATATATATATATATGAGCAGATTCATTTCCATTTTCAAGGTAGCTTATATTGATCACTTCTGGGCTTTTTTTTTTTATTAACATATTATTTGTTTCAGGGGTACAGGTCTGTGATTCATCAGTCTTACACAATTCACAGCGCTCACCACAACATACCCTCCCCAATGTTCATCACCCAGCCACCCTATCCCTTCCCCTTCCACCCCCCTCCACTCCAGCAACCCTTTTTGTTTCCTGAGATTAAGAGTCTCTTATGGTTTGTCTCCCTCTCTGGTTTCGTCTTGCTTCATTTTTCCCTCCCTTCCCCTATGATCCTCTGTCTTGTTTCTCAAATTTCTCGTATCAGAAAAATATGGAACGCTTCATGAATTTGCGTGTCATCCTTGCACAGGGGCCATGCTAATCTTCTCTGTATCATTCCAGTTTTAGTATATGTGCTGCCGGAGCGAGCACGGTCACTTCTGTTTTTAGACAGGAGAGAGTGTTCAATTTATTATTCTTGCTTAGGCTTCAAGTAGCTATGCCTGGTATATAAAAACTGCTCTTAAAACAGCTGAAACAAGAGGCTTTTTTTTTTTTTAAGGGCGATATCTTGATTGCGTTTGCATATAGTAAATTGGATTGAGGAAAAAAGTAGTTAACTGACTGCTTTCCTTCAATCAACTTTTAATTATCCCAAGGCAGATGATAAAAATTGCAGATTAGGCATGACCCTTATTTTGCTTTCAACCTCTTTCCATCAATATTTCATATATGTTCTTTGGCTACTGTGAATTACAAGAATGATAAATAATACCTGAGAATTTTCTCATTAGTGACTTGCACTTACATCTAAAACTATAATGACAAACTTTCAATGTATTTAAGGATTTAGATGACCAAGATACATAATTCAGAACCAGTTTTTTCTCCCCCACTACCCTTATTTGATACACAGTCATCCCAAAGTGACTTTCACACCTAAACTTAAGGTTATCTTGTATGCACTCCTGAATTTCATCCAATAATTTTTCAGCTTGTTCCTTCATTTTTGCAATCACTTGAAATGTAAATGTTAACAAATTTGTAGTAATTGTAAAAGTAATTGGAAGGATGGAGCAAAAAAAAATTATGCAACTTCGAAATTCCTTTAAATGAAAAAAACCCTTAAATTATATTTGAATGAGAAATAGTGTTTTTTGTTTTCATTTCAAAATTTATATTTATTTATTAAATAATTGATTTATTTTTTAGGAATAAAAAAAGTTTTCCAATGATCACTAGGTCATTTTCCCAGGCTGAACTTTCAGTGAACCACCAAAGCATTCAAGGTATGTTTTTATGGGTAGAGTCATATAAAGTAAATTTGTCTTTGCCTAAAAATAGAAAGCTTAGTTAGATATGGATTTATTTGCATTAATGGCTCTCAAAAGGCCAAATGGGTAGGAGGTTAGAAGTGTGGGAAATGCAGGACATTTGGCATTTTGGGAGCCATTAATGCCATATGATGCTTTTGGCATCTCTGTACTTTTACCACCACCCTATTGAACTTCTAAGTCCTAAGTCCTATTTATGCTTTAACTGGCTGTTCCTTTATAACTTTGTGGTGTTTCTTGCTGCCATAAAGCTGATGTTACTACACCATAGAATTGGTAGTCCCCTTTCCTTCTGATACTTCATTGCAACTCCCTCTTCCCTTCATTCCTTTCAGAGTGTTCGGAACAAAAGTTCGTTTTATTTTCATCCAGATTTTAGGTTAAATCACATATAAGGAAACTGTTAAATTGTTCACTAGTTTAGCTAACTCTGTTTTAATACAATCCTATCTTCTTCCTCCCAATTCAAAGAGTAATTCTAACCAAATTGTAGAATGGTCAAAATAAACAAATTATCTTTAGTAATTGTTGTATATTGTATATAAGTTAAAATTCCGCTCTCCTGAGCATTTTCTTCTCATTTGGTACTTTAGAATTTTATGTATGTATGTATGTATTTTGAGAGAGAGAAAGAGCACAAGCAGTGGGGGAGGGGCAGAGAGAGAGGTCAGGAGCAGACTCCCCACTGAGCAGGGAGACTGACGGTGGGGTTCGATCCCAGGACCCTTTGATCATGACCTGAGCAGAAAACAGACGCTTAACTGACTGAGCCACCCAGGCGCCCTTAGAATTATTTTTTATACATACATACTACTATTACTGCATGTTGTCTCTTTCAGGTGTTAAGTAGAAAATGTACAAAATCTTTTAATAATTTATTAAAGGAGAGACAAAAACTCAAAAAAAAATTTTTTAAGTTTTTTTTTAATTTATTTGAGATAGAGCAGGAGTGAGAGAGAGAGAGAGAGAGTGCGCACAAGCAGGGAGAGCAGCGGGCAGAAGGAGAAGCCGGCTCCCCACTGAGCAGGAAGCCCACGCAGGCCTCAATCCCAGGACTCTGGGATCATGACCTGGGCCAAAGGCAGATGCTTAACCAACTGAGCCACTCAGGCGCCCCCCGCCCAATTTTTTTTAATTTGTAAAAACTATTTTAAGTAAATTTTGTAGTTAGAAAATGAGAATTCCTTAAATATGTTTATTTTTATATAGTAGTCAAATTAGCATAATAAATACCAACTTACCAAATTTTAAAAATACCAACTATTGGCATAAAAGAATGATCATTTTGATTATGAGGTGATTAAAAATATAGAAAGAGATGGCTTTGAGGATTTTCTTTGCAATTGAGAGGAGAAAGGAGGATGAAGTCGTCTTCTCTTTTTTTAAACTAACCCACCAAGGATCTGACAGTTAAAAAAAAAAAAAAGAATATTGAAGATGTATCTATTACAATGTTTCTTTCATCTGTACTAAATTTTAGGCAATCAGAGATAAAACTTTAAATAACAAGATATACGTAGTAGACCATATTATCATCATTGCTTGGCACAAAGGATTCTAATGCAAGGATAAGAAGTTATTTATTCCAGGGGCGCCTGGGTGGCTCAGTTGTTAAGCGTCTGCCTTCGGCTCAGGTCATGATCCAGGGTCCTGGGATCGAGCCCCACATTGGGCTCCCTGCTCTGCAGGAGGCCTGCTTCTCCCTCTCCCACTCCCCCTGCTTGTTTTCCCTTTCTTGCTGTGTTTCTCTCTGTCAAATAAATAAATAAAATCTTAAAAAAAAATTTTTTTTAAGTTATTTATTCTTAATGTTTTTCTCATCATCCTGTGAGGGTGTGCAATACCATGATGTTAGCCCTCCTAGGTGATTTTCATAGCTTATCATCATCAAATGGCAAAGGTGAAGCAAAACAAAATAAAAACAAAAACAATAAAAAGCAGATTTTTGTACGATATAAAGCTCAGTAAGCATATTTATGCTTATTTTTTTCCCCTGAAAAACCTGTCTTGCTTGTGAGGATGCATGCCAAGGTTCAGCAAATAATTACTTATGCTGTAGCTCTAGATATGGCCTAATCAAAGCAAACCAAAAGAATGACTCAAACATATGCTTGAAACAGCAGTGAGCCCTAAATTCCTACCTAAATACGTCAGAGTGCCTGGGCCTTAATGGTGAAGGTAGGAGGCAAGAGGAGTGGTATAGGAGAACTGTCTTTTTTCCTGATCATCCTTCAACTTCTCTTGGTATGAATTGCAGAGGGAGCAGGATGAGGAGGGGATGATAAAGTGGCAGTCACTTAGGACAACCTCCTGATTCCTTTTGGCCCCTACATGGGTTGTTCCTTTTCATGCCTAACTTGACAGCATGATTTTAATTTATATTCTATTACCTATAATGGAGGAGATAATGACCCTGAAAAAGTAGGTATGATTTTTCCTCCTGTAATTAACCCATACTTAGAATAACCCAGCCAAAATAGTGAAAGGCTTTTAGCTAAACTAATTCTAAATAATTATAATTTTACCGACCTTCATGTAAAGTATTTTTTTAAGAAGTGGAAGATTTTTTTTGTAAATTTATTGCCACTGTAATGATACTTTTATATCAATAAATAGGTATAATATTTATAAAATATTTTATATATCACATGAATGCCTGAGAGAACCATTTCAAGTTATTTTGATTAAGAAATGCTAAATGAGAAGGTATGTTTTTAGTGCTTTAATAAAACTGGAGTAAAACATATTGTTGTCTTCTAGGGCCTGAGGCTGAAAATCCTGAAATTTTGCCAAACCCAGATAAGGTTGGTCTATATAACACATTACTTTTGCAGATCATGTGTTTAGATTTTATTTAAAAATTATATTGAGGGGCGCCTGGGTGGCTCAGTCATTAAGCATCTGCCTTCGGCTCAGGTCATGATCCTGGGGTCCTGGGATCGAGCCCCGTGTCAGGCTCCCTGCTCGGCTGGAAGCCTGCTTCTCCCTCTCCCACTCCCCCTGCTTGTGTTCCCTCTCTTGCTGTGTCTCTCTCTGTCAAATAAATAAAATCTTTAATAAATAAATAAATAAATAAAAATTATATTGATTAAAGTATCAAGCCCATTAGGTTCTCTCCCTGGGTGAGAATATGACTAAACCATTTCAGTAGATAGAAATGTATTCTTGTCTAAAAACCCCTTCCAATATTTGTTCTTCCCTATCTCTAATGAAATAGTATTTTCTTGATCTGTGTTTCTTTTTTGTATTTTAATTCCAGTATAGTTAACATACAGTGTTTTATTACTTCCAGGTATACAAAATAGTGATTCAACAATTCTATAAATTACTCAGTGCTAATCAAGATAAGTGTACTCTTAATTCTCTTCATCTATTTCACGTACACCCCCCCATCCACCTCCTCTCTGATAACCATGTACTCCATTTAAGAGTACTCCATTTATGCTCCATTTAAGAGTCTTTTTTTTTTTTCTTGGTTTGTCTGTTTTTTCTTTATTTGTTTCTTAAATTCCACAGAGGAGTAAAATCAATGGTATTTGTTTTTCTCTGACTAATTTATATCACTTAGCATTACTCTCTCTAGATCCAGGCATGTTATTGGAAATAACAAGATTTCATTCTTTTTTATGGCTAAATAATATTCTTGTGTATTCTTGTTATTCTTGTTATTCTTCTTTATCCATCTTTCAGTGGACACTTGGGCTCCTTCCATAATTTGGCTATTGTAAATAATGCTGCAATAAACATAGGGATGCATATATCCTTTCAAATTAGTGTTTTCATATTCTTTGGGTAAATGCCCAATAGTGCGATTAGTGGATCATATGGTAGTTCTGTTTTTAATTTTTTGAGGAACCTTCATCCTGTTTTCCAGAGTGGCTGCCCCAGTTTGCACTCCCACCAATAGTGCAGGAGGGTTCCTTTCTTCCTACATCCTCACCAACACTTGTTTCTTCTGTTTTGATTTTATCTCTTCTGACTGGTGTGAGGTGGTATCTCATTGTGGTTTTGATTTGTATTTCCCTGATGCTGAGTGATGTTGAGCACTTTTTCATATATCTGTTGGCCATTTGTAGGTCTTCTTTGGAGAAATGTCTGTTCATGTCTTCTGCCCATTGCTTCATTGGATTATTTATTCTTTGGGTGTTGAGTTTGATAAGTTCTTTATAGATTTTGGGTACTAACCCTTTATCTGATAAGACATTTGCAAATATCTTCTCCCATTCTGTAGGTTGTCTTCTGGTTTTGTCGACTGTTTCCTTTGCTGTGAAAAAGCTTTTTTATCTTGATGAAGTCCCAATAGTTCATTTTTGCCTCTGTTTCCCTTGCCTTTGGAGATGTGTCTAGCGAGAAGTTGCTCTGGCTGGGGTCAAAGAGGTTGCTGCCTGTGTTCTCCTCTAGGATTTTGATGGATTCCTATCTCACATTTAAGTCTTTCATGCATTTTGAATTTATTTTTACATATGGTGTAAGAAAATGGGTTAATTTCATTCTTCTGCATGTGGCTGTCCAATTTTCCCAACACCATTTGTTGAAGGGACTGTCTTTTTTCCATTGGATATTCTTTCCTGTTTTGTCGAAGATTAGTTGACCATGGAGTTGAGGGTCCATTTCTGGGTTCTCTATTCTGTTCCATTGATCTGTGTGTCTGTTTTTGTGCCAGTACCATACTGTCTTGATGCTTACAGCTTTGTAATACAGCTTGAACACATTGGACAAAATAGACTTTAAAACAAAAATTAAAACAAGAGACTAAGAAAGACAGTACATAATCATAAATGGAACAATTCAACAAGAAGATATAACAAATTGTAAATATTTACACACCCAACAAGGGAGCACCCAGATACATAAAGCAGTTAATAACAAACATAAAGGAAGTAATCAAGAGTAATACAATAATAGTAGGGAACTTCAACACTCCACTTACATCGATGGACAGATCGTCCAAACAAAAAATCAGCAAGCAAACAGTAGCTGAGAATGAACATTGAACCAGGTGGATCTAACAGAAATATTCAGAACATTCCATCCTAAAACAGCAGGATACACATTGTTTTCAAGTGTACATGGAACATTTTCTAGAACAGTTCACATATTAGGCCACAAAACAAGTCTCAACAAATTAAAAAATGTCAAAGTCATACCATGCATCTTTTCTGACCACGATGCTATGAAACTAAACATCAACCACAAGAAAAAATATGGTAAGACCACAGAAATATGGAAGTTAAAAAACATGCTACCAAACAATTAATGGAACAACCAAAAAAATCAAAGAGAAAATCAAAAGATACATGGGGAGAGGGGCGCCTGAGTGGCGCAGTTGGTTAGTCATCCCACTCTTGGTTTCAGCTCAGGTCATGATCTCCGGATCATGAGATCAAGCCCCATGTTGGGCACCATGCTGAGCTTCGAGTCTGCTTAGAGTTTTTCTTTCCTTCTCCCTCTGTTCCTCTCCTCCCACCTAAAATAAATAAATAAATCTTTAAGAAAAATACATGGAAACAAATGAAAGCACAACAGTTCAAAAATTTGGGATGCAGCAAAAGCAGTCTAAGAGGGAAGTTTATAGCAATACAGGTGTAACTCAAGAAGAAAAATCTCAAATAAACAACCTAAACTTACCCCTAAAGGAGCAAGAAAAAGAAGAACAAACAAAACCCAAAACCAGGAGAAGAAAAGAAATAATAAAGATTAGAGCAGAAATAGGCAAAATACAAACTAGAAAAATAATAGAGCAGATCAATAAAACCAGGAGCTGGTTCTTTGAAAAGATCAACAAAATTGATAAACCTTTAGTCAAACTCATCAGAGAGAGAGAGAGAGAATTCATATAAAGAAAATCAAAAATGGAAGAGGAGAAATAACCAACACCACAGAAATACAAAGGATTGTAAGAGAATACTATGAAAAATTATATGCCAACAAGTTGGACAACCTACAAGAAATAGATAAATTCCTAGGAGCATATAATCTCCTAAAACTGAATCAGAAAGAAATAGAAAATTTGAACAGACTGATTACCAGCAATGAAATTGAATCAGTAATGAAAAATTCCCAACAACAGAATGTCCAGAACCAGATGGCTTCACAAGTGAATTTTACCAAATTTAAAGAGTTGATATTTATTCTTCTCAAACTGTTCTAAAAAATTGAAGAGGAGGGAAAGCTTCCAAATTCATCCTATGAGGCCACTGTTACCCTGTTACCAAAACTAGAAAAAGACACCACAATAAAAGAGAACGACAGGCCAGTATCTTTGATGAACATAGATGCAAAAGTCCTCAACAAAATATTAGCAAACAGAACCTAACAATACATTAAAAAATCATTCACCACAATCAAGTGGGATTTATTCCCAGGATGCAAGGGTGGTTCAATATTCACAAAACAATCAACATGATACATTACATCAACAAGAAAAAGGGTAAAAACCATATGAACATTTCAGTAGATGCAGAAAAAGCATTTGACAGAGTACTGTGGGGATTCACAGTGCCTGGATAAATAAAATCTGACTTGTATATACCTCCCTGGATGAGACTAATTGAAAAGCAAGGAAGGAGTGCCCAGAATGCTGGGCGTCCTTTGGAGTTTCTTGGCTGAAAGCGGCCAGATTCTACTGTGGCTCAAGGTTCTCATCTAGGGAGAAAATGTTTAAATTTTGAAGAAATACAGGTACCTGTAGTGGTCACGTACTTCATGAACTCCTTGCCTTGCACGTATGTCACGAGCACTGCTCCTACCACATGCTGCCCCATATATTATTGTCCTGATCATTAAGGCTACACTTTCCTTCTTGTTTTTCTCTTGCATGTGGTGTATTGATAAAATTCACAATAAAAGTGGAGACAGAGCTTGGCTCGAGACCTTTCGCCATTAGAGTGTCTGTCCCCTCACCCTCTCCTTTCTCCTACTTTGGTGTCTGGAGTAATCTTTTCATTTGCCGTCTCAGGGTTTGCTGGCCAAACCCGACAAACATCCGTTCATGATAAAAACCCTCAACAAAGTAGGTTTGGAGGGAACATACCTCAATAATAAAACCTTTATATGAAGACCCATAGCTGACATCATACTCAATGAGGAAAAACTGAGAGCTTTTTCCCTAGGGTTAGGAACAGGGCAAGGATGTCCACTCTCACCACATTTATTCAACATAGTAGTGGAAGTCCTAGCCTCAGCAATCAGACAACAAAAAGGAGTAAAAGGCATCTAAATTGTGAGGAAGAAGTAGAACTTTCACTATTTTCAGATGGCATGATACTATATTTAGAAAATCCTAAAGACTTTACCCAAAAACTACTAGAACTGATAAATAAATTCAGTAAGGTGGTAGGATACAATATCAACATACAGAAATCTGTTGCATTCCATACACTAATAATGAAGCAGCAGAAAGAGAAATTTTAAAAAAATTCCCATTTACAACTGCACCCAAAACAATAAAATACCTAGGAATAAGCCTAACCAAGGAGGTGAAAGACTTATACTCTGAAAACTATAAAACAATGATAAATTGAAGACAAACAAATGGAAAGATATTCAACACTGATGGATAAGAAGAATATTGTTAAAATGTCCATACTACCCGAAAGCAACCTACATATTTAATGCAATCCCTATCAAAATACCGACAACATTTTCCACAGAACTAGAAAAAAACGATCCTAAAATTTGTATGGAACCACAAAAGATCCCAAATAGCCAAAAGCAATCTTGAAAAAGAAAAACAAAGCTGGAAGTATCACAATCCCAGATTTCAAGTTATACTATAAATCTGTCATAATCAGAACAGTATGGT